ATCAGTATGGATCCATGGTGGCTGCTGTGCTTTGTCAGTAATCCATGGATGATGCTTTGACTTCCACAACTGAATCAGCCTGCAGTTACTGACAAATGATCAGTAGAATTGTTGTTATTTCAGGGACATTGTTATTCCAAGTTTACTGAGTGACAACATGAGATGGATTGATTCCAAAAGTAACCATGGCTTTGGGTTTGCAAGACCCGAGTTGGAATATTAATGATAGGACCTCTTGGGAATCATTCAGTCATGGGGGTTGCGGTAAGTCTGACACTTCTTTCTGTCCACTGAGGCTCTGGAATCTTCATAATGGAAATTAGTTTGTTTACATAGAATATCTGGCCAGATTTATGGGGGGTGGGAACTTTTTTGTTTTGTTTTTCTTCTCATTTTTGTACCTTCTAACTTGAAGAAAGGTTCTGAATGTCGTGATCATGAGTTATGTGGTTTAAGCTTTAAAGCATGTAATGTGAATGGGTTATGTAGTCATGAGAGATGTAACATGGAGTCAGAATGGTTCTTTGTAAAGAAGATTTGAAGGACTTTGGAATGTGTTTTTCTGAAAAAGCTGTGAGAATGTTTTCCTGTGGAGAGTACAGTGTGGGACGAGATAAGGAGACGGCTATGAAGACTCAACAGCCATGAAGACTCAACATTCTGGCCTAATTGGGAGAAGAAAAACAACACCTGGACTGTTTCATGGGAAAGAGGGGTGGAGAAAGGTGTTGTTGTTGTTTAGTCGTTCAGTCGCATCCGACTCTTTGTGACCCCATGGACCAGAGCATGCCAGGCCCTCCTGTCTTCCACTGCCTCACGGAATTGGGTCAAATTCATGTTGGTCACTTCGCTGACACTGTCCAACCATCTCGTCCTCTGTCGTCCCCTTCTCCTCTTGCCTTCACTCTTTCCCAGCATCAGGGTCTTTTCCAGGTTATCCATAGGATCATAGAATATGTATTTAGTTACATATACCTTAACTCCTGAAGATGATTCTAACTCCCCTCAATGTTTTTCTTTCCAGCTTCACCGATTTCTGTCCGGAGTCTCATTTAACAACAGCGCTGGGGATGAGATCTCCTTTGATCAGAAGGGTGAACTGAGAGCAGGGTTTGATATTGTTAACTGGGTTACCTTCCCCAACAATTCTTTTCTAAAAGTGAAAGTGGGGAGAATGGACCCACAAGCCTCACTGGACAGACAGTTCTTCGTTGACGAGAACATCATTACATGGCAAACACAGTTTAATGAGGTAGGATCAGACTAATTAATTTGATGTATGTATTGGCTCTCATGCACTAAAGAGTACTCTGCTCAGTGAACTTTGTATTGGCAGCGTCTATTAAATCAATACTGTTCTCTCTTTTTATCTGAATAGGCTGTGCCCCTTTCCTTGTGTAATGAGCCTTGTATTCCAGGATACAGCAGGCAAAAGAAGGAAGGGAAGCCATTTTGTTGCTACGCTTGCGCTCGATGTCCAGAAGGGAAGATTTCAAATGAGCAGGGTCAGAAACATGATATTGTAATGAATATAACCCTATTAAGGTATTGGTAAGGTTTGTCAACGTGTCTTAGAGGGAATTGGCTAGCTTGGGAAAGTGTGAGGAAAAGAGGAGACGACAGAGGATGAGATGGATGGACAGAGTCATCGAAGCGAGGTCTACAGGATAGCCTCTCGTGCTCACTAGCATTCTCACTTGTCAAAAAATAGCCCTGACAATTGCTTCGTGTTTGGGGGAGGTTAAAAAAAAAAGGAGTCAGTGTCTGGTATTTTCCCTTGTGTGTCATTTTGTGAATTAGCCCCAGGCACTTACCATCAAGACAACAAAAACATATACACTATGTATGCACAGCTCAAAATCACCATAGGTTTCATTCTTTTTTTTGTGATTTTGTTCTTTTTATTTATTTATTTCTTGCAAAAGGTGAAATATAAATCTATTTAAATGAATAAATACTGTATTTTTCCGTGTATAAAACTATACTTTTGTCTAAAATCTTTAGACCAAAAATTGAGGGTCGTCTTATACACAGAAGTAAGCTGAGGAGAGAACAAAAACAAGTGGAGGGGAAAGCAGGGATCAAAGCGATCCTGCAACGCTTTGATCCCTTTCCCCCTACACTTGCTAAGCCCCACTTAGATTTCTTAATTTTGGATTAGAAAAGGGGGGGCATCTTATACATGGGGCATCTTATACATGGAAAAATACGGTACATAACATGAAGATGAGATGAACTAAGAAGTAACATACAGGTTCATTGACCCCCTACATTTCAACAGAAAGTTTTCTAACCCTGAGGCAAAATCCTATTAGTTCTAGGCCTAACCTTAATCAAATAAATGTAAATCCTGGCAGAGAGTTGCTACATTTTAAGAAGCTCATGGGACTATCTCCTGTGATATCCAAAGTTGCATGACTCAGTGCACCATGGGGGTAGATTCTTAGTAATTTACCATCCAAACATCTTTCTGTTTTCTTTACCCTAATTTAAAAACATGATAGGCTTTTGGCCTTTATATTTCTATGGTCCTATACAAGCAGGTAGGTCTTCTCAGTTAACAAAGCACATATCTTAAAAGACCACACTGAGAAACTGAAATCCTTCTTTCTTCTTTTGAATTAGACATGAATGACTGCACCAAATGTCCAGAATATCAGTATCCGAACAAGGAGAGAAATGAGTGTCTACCAAAGGATCTAAACTTCCTGTCTTATAAGGAACCTTTGGGCATCAGTTTGATGATTCTGGCCGTCT